ATACAAAATGTGATATAGTGCCAAATTCCTATACGGAATGTTGCACATTCATCGGACTAATGATTTTGAGTTTTATAAGTTGGAAAAACAAAAAGAGATTAATAGGTAGTCAAATATCTATTTCGAAAAAGGAAAATTAAATTAAAATAATTAGTGCACTTCATGTTTTGTTGCATTTGGTTGGTTTAAAGCTACGTTGGCTGAAAGATGGTGATGCTTTTTTATTCTCTCTTTAGAAGGCTCGTCTTTGAATGGTCTTCGAAATGGCAATCTTTTCGAGCCGCTCATAATTCCCACCTGTCGTCGACTGCTTAAAGTTAAAGAGCTTCCTATGGTATCAAAACTTTCTCAAGTTGTTTTAATTTTAATATGGGATAATCGTTAATGCAAAACTTTTGAGGTTGACAAATCAGTTCCATGTTTATGATTTTTATGCAATTTCACAATAATCAAATGCTTATTAAATGCACTAATTAAAAATTTTACGAACCTTTTTAAAAAAAAAAAAAAAAAAACGCACATAAGTTCCGCGAGCTTTAGAAAAGTTAGCAGAGCATGACTTAAAAAATGCACAAATCATCGTGATATCTACATTGAAATGTTTTATTGTAAATTTACCCTTGTTCTGTTTGATCAGACATTACCAAACTAACCGGGTTTTCATCGGTAAGTTTAGTAAAGTCTGATGAAACAGAAAAAGTGTAAATTCGATGAAAAAATGTAAAAAAAAGGAACGTAAAATTTCTATTTAGTGCATAAGCGTTTACTTAAGCGAACATTTTAATGTAGATATCTACATTAAAATGTTCATAATATTATGATGATTTGTGCATTTTTCAAGTTATATTCTGCTTACTTTATCTAAAGCTGGCAGAACATGTCGTTTTTTTAGGAAAAAAAGAGTATTAAATTTTCAATTAGTGCATTTAATTAGCATTTATTCAACATTCAATTATGGTATAATTGCATTTGTGTTCTGCTGACCTTGCCCTCCTAGCTTTAGGGACATTCTTTAGCACGTGTTATTGAAAATCCCGCGAAACCATAAAGCAATGCATAAGTATCTACAACCTAACATTCCGCATACGAATTTCGCACCAAATTACATTCCGTGTATATGCGTTTCGTACCTCACCGTTTATTGGTTTAAATTAGACCGCATGGTGCGACGTACCAATAGGATATGCCTGGGTGCCAAATACATATACGGAATGCTTAGATGCCTCCGCGGTGACCATGGTTCGTTAGCAGTTTTAGGGTCTGCTTGCATTTCCACGCAAGCTTTGATAAGACGCGCATTTGCAGGCCTTCAAAGCCTTTAGGGCCGCTTGCCTGTATAATAGTATAAAGGCGTGTTTTCTTTTGAGGTTTTGGTTTAGAAAATCTTGTGCACATAGCTTGAAGTTTGGACCTGAAATGCCCAATCCAAGTTGTTTCGAAAGGGGTGCCTGATAACTTTTATGACGTCATCTGTGGTGCCCAAACATAACGCAAATCTCCATAAGGTGCTCCTGATGAGGTCATCTGGTTACCATTACCAGACAACCTATTAACTTCAGGAACCTTGGTTTGGAGCAATCTGTGTAGGTACCTACCACAGCGAGGCGTTAGCTGCATATTGTAGATTTTCATTCTCCCAGGATTGGCGGTCGTTGATTAAACTGCGAATGGAATTTCAAGGTCTAATAAGTTGTCAGTCAGTTGGTTTCCTAGCATTTTCCACAATTTTATTTCTTCGAAAATGCGCAAGTCACCTCTCATCAGATCTCCAGGCTTGAATTTATCTGTCTGCAAATAGCCTATGAACGCTACCTACTGTTTGTGTTTCTTCTTCTTTCAGCAGCATCTCTAAAGCCGGGCTCAAACCACTTGGCAAATATTTGTTATTGGCGTACAGTTGCCATGTTATGTGAGTGGTTCACTAGTACAATTATTTGTCACTCGTGACGTTTCCATTTTCTGTCGGTAAAAATGGCCTGAGTCAAAGGGATCACAGTTATTCGTTCACTTGCCGAGTACAGACTTGACTATACTTATTGAGGCGCTCGAACGAAATTCACAAATAATTTTGCTCCATTATGGCTGCCACCATTCTAGTCATTTGTCAAGGTTTCAACGAAATGTTCGTGCTTGCTTACTTGTTAACTCTACATGTCGTATGAGCGCTCTGCTTGCCATGGCTTATCACTTATCACAAAGCTGGTATGCTTGTCAAGTAAGCTAGTAAGCAAATATTGGTGTACTTGCCAAGTACACGAGTGGTCTGAGCCCGGCTTAAGGCTGGGGTATTGCAGCTGTTATTCTCGTACGACAAGGCTGGAAGATATCAATTAATTCCTGGTAAGATTCAACTAGACGAATTGCTGCGTTCCAGTGTATGACATATACTCCGACACGTCATAGTTACATAAATGATGCATTATTCCACAAGTGCCTTGCCTTGCGCTTCCATTCGCTCCCCGGTTTCTTCCATAGATTTCGGAAATTGACGAAATTGTTAGGATCAATTGGCCTTTGATAACAAACAAAATTACAATTACTAAACAGTGGCAAAAAAGTAGCGTATATTACCTGTAACTTTCTAGGACATTTTTTCATATTAGGTAAAGATAATTGAATATTTACTGGTATTATGCGCTACTTTTTTGCAACTCTGTATAGAACACCTATATAGATTTTTTAAGGGGAGTAGAGCACCAAATTCGATGCCCAACGAGCCATTGAGCTACTGACCAGTGAACTGGGATTGAATTATTGTGTTAGCAGAAGATGGCCGACCAGCTGATGTTGTTATTGAGCTCAGTAAATAATAATTAATAAAATACCAGAACCTATGATCTTTGACCTGCGGTTTTATTTCAGTAAACATATTAACAATATTTAGGTGATAAGTTTAAAAATAATTCACAAAACATTTCTTCAATTAATCATTAATAAACATTAATAAACAAACGGGCGGCGTAATCTCGAAAACCTCAACAAAAAAAAATTACATGAAAAAAAAAACAAAACATTGAAAACTAGGAATGCAAGTGCCATAGAGCCAAGCTCGCCAGCATTCTGCGAGTGAGCCATTTGTTGATTTCACCACAATTGCTTTATGTTCGTGATCCTAATTTCCCTCAATTTAAAGCTTACCATGAACCCCTTGAACCAACCGCAACTTAAGTTAGTCTTAACTAAGTCAGACCTAAACTTCAGCTAAAAAATTTGGTGTAAAACCATAATTTTTCGCAAGAACAAGAAGAAGAGAGATTGATTCAGTCGATACTTGATAGAAATCCATTACGAATATTGGAAGGGATTGAAGAGAACAAAAAAGTTTCTAGATTGCTTTTAACAAGAACAATAACAAAACACTCTGGAAGAAACACAGGAAGAACTGGACCGCCGGATTCAGAAAAATTTGCATGCCAAACAACGACAGAAAGGTATCATTGGAAAACAAGTAACAAGTGACAGGCTAAATAGAAACAGTCCGAGAAGAAGTAAAATGTCAAATGGGAACAGTCAAAAGCGGGGCGATCCGCGAAAAATTCGAATGGAAATATTGGAAACTGCAGAAGAGGATGATGGGAGAAATCCGAGATGAAAACAGCAACAATTGAATCGGCAGCAAAATGGATATTTCGGTGAGTCCTCTTGTAGGCGGCCATCTCAAACCACCAACTTCTGGCAACGAGACAACCTATCCTGACAACTGTCTCATTCAACTGTACCAGAGAAAGCTAAAGAGCAGAGTGCGAGGCCTCCTACGCCGCCACAAAAATTAAGCACTTGCTTCGAGAGAATGTTGCGGTTGTCACATTCACTAGTTCAACAATACTTAATTGAGCAAAGTCGAGCACTTTATCGATGTAGGATATACCTACAGACCTGCGCGAGACTGGCCACAGAACAAACATGAAGTCGGAAGTTTCCTAGGGCTTTGCAAATAGGTACTATCGTCGGTTTGACAATATCAACCACAGATAATTTCCAAGTATGCCGAAAGAATACTTCTAGAACGAACAGAATACTGACAAAGAAATTGTGCTTGGCTGTCTAGAAAATGGACAAGAACCAAGATGGCAAGACTTTTACAAAATATAGTTAAATGGTGAAGGGAAACTGGCTTCGATTTGATTCTTTGTGCCTGCAAGATGAATGAATCACTCGTAAATGGGAAAGTCCAGGGATTGGAAATAAGTAGGTAGTTACCTCATAGCTGCTATGGACTCTATTTTAAAGTGCCTAGTCAGAAGTAGTTCCAATTCCCACTCAAGAAGTTATGTAGCTCATGTAGTGAAAATATGCTAATTGTTCATTATTCATCATCATCAATCAGACCAAATGTGTCCCCACTGCTGAACAAGAGGCCACACTTTAGAGACATTTCACGGATCCTTGTATTTGTAAAGTAAGCTAATCCATACCCAAACCTATTTTTACAGATAGAAGGCAAAGTAATTCATTTAATTTTTTTCAACATATAAATATTATCATTTATCAGCGATCTCTAAACAAGAATAATTATGAAACGCTCTTTATAGGTGTGTATCCAGCTCTTTGCTGATTAAGAAAGTCTTGTCACTTTTTGCACCTACCTCTCGTTTTCGAGATTTCCAAAATAAAAATTATTTATGTTGAGGTGATAATATGATAAATTATGTTAACTCACCGAAAGAAGCCCACAAACTATTTTATTGTTTATCGTAGAACCATTTAAGGCTAGTTTTTCCTTGAAAATTTTGCACAGCAAACTTGACACTTCTATTCGATTATTAATTATCAAAATCTAATAGTACTCGCGTGCATGAAATAGTTCCCATTCATTTCTCATGGTAGGTACCTTTCAGAACCAAAAATAGATAGGTTATCATTTAGCACGTGCCCTGTAGTGATATTCCTCTTCGCATTATCAAAATTTACCACTATATTACTCTAGTTCCGATAGAGATTTATCAGGTTCAAGGTTCAAACGGATCATTCGAAACAGAAATGCTATAAGAAATGGTGGGGTAAAGTTTATGTTTAAGAGAGAAATTCCCAGCATCAATTTAAAAGTTTTTGTAAACAAGTGAGTGTGTCTTATCCTATTTTTTTTTTTCCAAAAATGTATTTCGTTATATTAAAACTGTGTATTGTACTAGCCCTTACTGGCTCAGTTAAAAACGTTTCAGGTGGAATATTTCCATCATCGTTTTATTTTAGAACTGTGTCGGAAACGGAAATTCCTCAAGAAAATAGTGTCGATGTAGACGATGCGGAAATCGAAGATGAAACGGAATCGGTCGGTGTTAGTGAACAGGAGTTTACAGCACTTCGAATAGAATATATTAAAAATCAAATACTTAAAAAGTTGCGACTTAAGGAAAAACCACAAATAACCATGGCAGATCTTCCTATACCGGTAAAGGAATATGAAAATTTGCTGCCTGACCAGGATATGAATCAACTGAGCAGATATGATGATGACTTTTATGGGAAAACGACTCAAGCTATTGTGCTACCATATGAAGGTGAGGAATATTTATAGTGAATCAAGAAACGCATATAGGTCGCTGTCATTGGTCACTGAACCCATTTTTCATACCGCATGCAATTCATCAAGATGTTTGTATTGTTGAAGTTAACTTACTTCAACAAAGAGTTTTCTATGAAAGGGGAATAATTTTCAGAGTAATAGGTTATTTTATTTTATTAAGCAAGTAGCAAGTACCTACTCTAGCTTTCTATGGCCAAAATTATCAATCTCCTAGTCAGCCCCTTACCATTAAGATAGGTTGCAAGCACCACTAATAAATGGTATTGTAACATTTTTGTTGTCTTGTTGCAAGCATTGAAAAGTTAGGCTATAAATAATTGAAATTGTTTCACTGAGCCATGTAGGAAAATAGTTCGCAGCACAGATATAGAATTGGCGCGGGAAAGAAAAATTTGTCTCGGTCTGAATAATGCGTTTTGACTAGAGAACTTAATTTCTACCTACGATGAACTGGGAGACAAAATTCACTAATACTTCACTGCAATAGGATTTTTCTACAGACCAATTCATACAAAGACATATGGTTTTCCTTGTAGGTAAGACCGCGCACTGAAAGTGTAAGGATAAGATTCGGCCAAAATCGTGCTCTGAAACGGATTTTTCGAGATATCTCGATTTCCATTGACTCTACGACTTACCAACAAAAGTAAATCCTCTTTTTCTGTCGATTCTTCAATCGGCTCAACATTCAAGCAAGATTGTCTATGGTAGTTAGATAAGTCACAACCTCCGACAGTCATATACAAGTGTCCACAATCATCCATATAGTTGCAGAAAATTATCTTCAAAAAGTCAAGCACAGAAAGTTGGGATGTTGTTTTTGGCCACAATATAGTATTTTTCAACATCTCCTTGAATCTTTAGGATTCAAGAATCCTAACGTTTTTTCAACATTTTCATAGCTGCAGTCTTGCACTGCCCTTCTTAAGCAGAACAGATGTAGTTGTCATGCAAACAGAAAATGCGTAGAGCAATAGTATGTGTTCTCGAAATTTTTAATACTGATCATCAAAGTATTGAAGAAAAAATTTTTCGACCGACCTTCCCTCTGCCTGGTTTGGGGGGAAAAATGTTTTTATTGATAGGTGTACGTCGTACGAGCCGTGACTTGATTATTTTTTAAAAAATTTGCCAGTTACGTTTTAACTGTCCAATAACCGTCATGGCGTTATAAATAAAAAAACAAACGCTGGGCCATTTATGGAAATTCCAAACATCAAAATAAACATTAATAATTACTAATTTGAACAAAGTGATAAGCGAGTATTTCAGATAAACAACATGAAAGTTTTTGGCGCCCCCAACTGGTTCCGGTTCTATTATATCAGCGATGATATAAGGAGATTTTATTGTAAATGCTTTATGAATTTTTTTATGCAATTTTATATTACCATAACTTATCCTATGAAGCAATAATAATTGTACAGGGTTTCCGCGTATAAATGGTCAACCTCTACCTGATTATTAACAGGTTTTATCAAAATGGAAGTTTACCATGGATATAATATGATGGTGATGGTAATGGTAACTATGACCTTATGCCAAACAAATCACTTGGGATCGATAAGGTTTTAGGGTAGCGTAGAAACTAAAACGAATGGACCTTCTGGGACATAATAGATTATATGGCATTAGTCGTTGTGGAATAGCCACCCATAGCATTAGATCGGACGCTTTCCCCCTGCGGAGGTTCTTTCGCCTATTTTCATGGGCGGTGACCCCCGCAAGTCCTCGTAAGGTGAGAACTGACAACTCTCTAATAGTCACGTTTCACGACAGGCAGGCTACATCTTGGGCTTTAGATACCTAACTGTTATCTATTTTAAGGCTTAAGAAACAAAAAGAAATAGCGTTGTTCGGTTGTCAATCCTATGATGGAGGATGTATAAGCTGCATAAGGATGACCTATCTTGAGTCGTATCTCACGTAACAAAAGCAATATTTTCCGAGGAAACGATTTTATTGTGTTTAAGGTAAGCACACAGTAATTAAAAAAAAAAATCTATTGAATAAGACACATCAGTTGGTTGTTCAATTCATTTGGATGGATTTTAATGCAATTTTGAACCAAAAATACGCCTACGAAGGGTTTTTTTTGTTAAACGCGCATTTCAATTCTACTTTGGAAAGATTTCAATTGAGAAGAAGTGAAATAATGCAGAAAACGTCTAGAAAATGCACGTTTACACCTATTTGTTTCAGACTTACAAAAGTCGTACCAAAAACATCAAATCTAAACATGCCCCATTATCAAAAAAAAAAACAAAAAATAAAAAATGACTTACCTACAACGAAATCGGAAATCCCTAATTTCATGGAGCTTTTGCACCTGAAATATTTTGGGAATCGTGCGAAGAGATAAATATAAACTTCTGGGATGGGATAACAAATAACAGCAACGGGTATGAATTAAATTCTACTTGGAAATTTCGATATATATTTTTTTTAAATCTAATTTTATGGATTAAAATGAATATGAAGCAATGACGAATCTGGACATCAAGTTGGCTTCGAAAACGAGACGTTTATAAGTGCAAAAGGTCCGCCATAAAATTGAGGTAAAAATTGCAATAGGTACAGTAAGGCACATGTAAGTTGCATTAATTTTAGCCTCTGTTTAATAAAATGTTATAAAAATAGGAGAGCTGAGCGACAAGTTGGCCCCGATGATCTTTCAAAAAAAAAGGGTGGTTGAAGGAAAAATTGAATGTAAAATATTACCAGCACAGTACAGCACACTAAGAAGTTGGAATCATTTTTGGTGTTGTAAATGTTCGAAAAAATAGGGGGATGCGCGCCAAATTGGCTAACCCAAAAAACGAATGTTTAAAAACTAAGTTCAAAATAACAGCACAGTTTAGCACACTCAAAGTTGCACCAGTTTTTTAGCTTTCTGAATAGAATAGAAGAATTCAATAAAAGGGGGGCTGAACGACAAGTTGGCCCCCTATCAAATGTTTGTAAATAGGATTAAGTGCAACTCAGCACACTTCCTGATATCAGCAGCAGGGAAATTACACCAAATTTATTATTAGCATTGAAGGCAATGAGAAAGTTTAAAGATTTGACGTAGGTATCAACTTTTTTGAGGCTAATCAATTCAGTGTATCGTGCGTGAATCATTGCATTCAATCAGTAATTAATCATCTAATGAATAAAATGTAGTTGTAGCCAGGGACTCTTTTCTTTTGTTCTAGAGACACTAAAGAGAACACGCGGCAAAGTTCCACAGTTAAAAAAAGTAAAAACTGTAGAAACTACCTACCTATCTAGTACCTAAATTGGACAATGGACAAATTATATTATTCAACCCAAGTGATGGATAATTTACTATATTCTGTTATTTCACTAATATTGTTTATATTTACATGTCCTTAAAGTATAAAAATATATCTGCAGTTGAAAATCCACAATTATCTTTTATTTTCTCCAAAATAATTCCCATGCAAAAAAATTCTTGGGATTATTTACAATGTATCCTTATCATTATTTTAACTTCTTTACAAAAATTAATTGTTTATGCAAAACACAAATAGTCCAAGATAATTGTATCTATTTTCGGAAGGTGTGAAACAAAAAAGAAAAAAATTAGAGGCAAGTTGATGTTGTCAGAATTGTTCCAGGGGGGTGTCCTGAGTGTAAAATCACCGGAATCAGAAACTTTCCTTTTCTGCGCCGTTAGCTTTAGGGGTTGTTTCTCAACATTGTTCTACAATGGAATTTTTGGTCTCTAATTGTAGATAGGTAATCGGATTCTCTATAACTATTTCCTATACTATTTTTTTTTAAATTCATTATTTGGGTACTAAGCCATTTTGTAACCAATTTTGTATCTCCGATTGAACTACTATACAGGGTGGGCCAATGGAAAGTTTCCACCCCGATTTTTTGGATTTGAAATGAAAATCTGGAAAAACGCTCGGAAACGGACACCTGCCTATTTAAAGTTCAAATAAAAATAAAAATTTTATCTTAAAGCGGTCCATAATTTGAACTTGATTGTCGTCATCACGCGACACAGAAGTGATCCATTATGTTTCTAGGAGCATAAAAATCTTTATGTATAATGTATGGGGTAATTTGTTCGATTTTTCTCGCTAGAGGCAGCAGCGTCAATCAGCGCTCTTATGTTCTTGTAATTAATTTTGCGTATTCTTCTCGCTAGATGGCAGCGACAACGACCAAGATCTCAAGAGCATAATTTATTCATAGTTTGCATCAATTTGTTCGGTTTAAATTCTTTGTTCAATATCATAAATTAAATTACCTATTGCAAAAATAACTAAACTAAATTTAGGACTATATGTTTTTGAACTTGAGACGGGTATTCCGGTTGAATTTGTTTCGGGTGTTTGACAGTTCCAGTGTTCAAGAACTATCCAATGTTGATCCAATTGGTTTATACTCTGTGCTCGAGACGATTTTCGAAATAATAATTTTTGTTCTGACATTGGGTTAGACTTATTCACCACCATCCATTTTGGTTGTGTCTGTATTTTAAGTAGTTCTGTTATAAGCCAATCATTGGGAATCCAAAAAAGGGTTTTTGGGTTTTGATATTTTACAGGGGTGTAGGTTTGGATGTGTAAAATTAAAATTCACAAAATGCACAATTCGAGACTAGCCGCCGGCGCCGCCATCTTGCCAAGATAACCGTCAAAACCGGTTTTTCGCAATTCTCGCCAAAACTATGCATTTTTAGAAAAAATATGTAGAGAACAAAATTGAAGAGGAGGAAATTTCATACAAAAATTGTACGACTTACTTAGCATATTTTTGGTAAAGTTAACCGTTTGATCAGGAAAGTTGTCGTAAAGTCTAATGCGTAAGTTTTATTTAGAGGCGATTTTCCGAAATAATATGTGTAGGGTTGCTCAAAACTACTTTTTTGATGCTTTAAACAATTTTTTCATGAAACAGTCTAGCGTATCTTTTATCAAATTAATTCATCAATTAACTTATGTTATTGATTCGCGATCAATAAATTTTAATTATCAAAAACGCTTTATACTTGTAAGTAGAATTATACATTTTGTATCTGCAAAGGCCCGACGGACATGGTTCTTCAATACTGATGCTTTCACCGGTGAATATGTCTGGCTCTATTTCATCATTTTGACATTTAGTAAATAAACTAAACAATTAAAAATAGAATAAATTCCTAAATTATAGTTGTAAAATGTAATATTGCATAGTCGCTTGAAAATAAAATGTTGTATGCCATTCGGCCCAGAAGATCTTTTTGTGCTGGCTGAGCTCGACGTTTGAAGGCCGATGCGTAGCGGAGGCCAACGTAATCGAGCGAATATAGCTGAAAATAACTATTATTCAAATCTACTCACAAGCATAAGAAACAAAAAAATGCATGAAATAATAAAATGACGTATTTTTTAGAAAGATCAAAAAAAAAAATACCATTTTTGGTTCAGTAACCCTTTTTGAAATCGCTTCATTGATTAATAAAATTATTATTAAATGGTAAGCAACAATAATTATTGGGCGGTAAGTACAAAAAACATGTAAACAATTTTTTTTATCCTGCCACCATGTAAGAATAATTAATACTATGAAAAACAATAAATAAAAATAAATTATTTATTTCTACAGCGGTAATAGAGAGCTAAAGACCAGAAACAAAAAGTCTACAAAATTTTTCTTAAAATAAACAGAATCAATTATTTTTAATATATGCAATTTATTGCAGAACTAATATATTCAACTCGATATTTGTTTAATTAAAAGATAAACTCAATTTTTGGAATTTAATAATTTCACTTTGGAGCAAACGTGATGACCCAATTATCACTCTTGTGTGGGCGAATAAGATAAGTTTTGCATAAAACATGAAACGATATCAGAAAGGAATTTATTTCATGATGAAATATGTTGGGAAAATAATCTTTAATCGACAAATTAACTTCTTGTATCTCTAACTTTTCTCAAAATAAATTGGAAAATATTTTTATTCCAGATGAAGCACGTTGTCTCAGAAAAGTACACTACCCATCTGCCTGCCTCCCATTCCAAATGCCGAATGATATTCACAGTACGGATGTAAGTACTGCCCAGTTGTGGTTTCACAAAAAACCCGACATAATGGACTCCCACAACCAAACTTTTATAATATCTGAAGTTGCTCATTGGGATACCAACAAGAGTTTCCAGAAAACGAATCCAATTGCCATACAAGATACTAACTCAAGAGGTATGACCTTGAATTTTTACATGATCTTTGGACCGCATAAATATTTTCAAGCGGTGAATTGTTTACAGTTAAGTATTCCTAATCAAGTAATAGGTTGAGGGAGTAAAGCATATCAGTTATATACAAGAAAATATTTCATTTAGCCTTGTCATAACAATTAAACAATAATATACCTATTATGTATTAGTTAACTGGACAATACATTATTATAAGCAAGTCCGCTTTCACTGCATGAAGGTGTATAAGTAATATCTTTTTTATTTATTTTTTAGAGGGTTGGTTGAAAGTTGATGTGACCTATGTAGTGAAAAACTGGTTAAACTATCAGAACTCCCCCATACACGCAATTAATGTTTTGTGCAAAACTTGTGGAGCCGACAAGTCCCAATCACCAGTTTCATTTAGTGCGGATTTGAAGCCTTTCCTAATTATTTATACCCACTCACAACAAAGAGGGTCAGTATAACTTTATACATATTATTGTTTATTTTTTAATTGCCTATATATTTATCTGGAAAGAGTGTTTTATTAACATTTGGTATTTTTGTAAATAGATCTTTGATCCATCGACGTCCAAAGAGGTCCTCAGAATGCAGAGATTCACCAAATGAGTGCTGCAGAGAAAGTTTATACATATCTTTTGCCGACATTGGTTGGAATGATTGGATCATCAAACCAGAAGGTTATAATGCCTTCTTTTGCAGAGGTTCCTGCACTACGCCCACAGCTATAATGAACAGTGCTAGTCACCATAACAGTATATTACAGGTAAAATAGGGCACTTTAATGAAAAATTAAATTGATTATTGTTTATTGCAAACTGTAGAAAATTAAAAAAATCTATACCTATTTTTTTAAATTTTGTCCAAATATGATTATTCCGAAAGTTATACCAGACTTTGGTTATACAAATAATAAGTTTTGTATATATAGATATACTGGAGCATGTGTAACGTCATAGAGTATGAAAAATAAGCACACTTCAAAGCGTTATATCTCCGTCAATTTTTGTTTAACAAGAAAAAGAAAAAGACTGGTTGACTTATTTTTCATCGACTAATGAAATCAGCAATAACAAAAATTGAGTCAAGTTCCCCATTACCGAAAGATTTTTTCAACCTCGCAGATGCCAATATATAAACTGACCAGCACCACCAGAATCCAGAGTGTTCACTAACCCTAAACCGATTTAACGTAATATACCACGCCTTTCCGATAGATCTCCTTAGTACCTACAATAATAGTTACCTACTAAAATCATTGTTAAACATTTTTAGGAAATGAAATAGATGTTGGAAATATGCCCACCTACCAAGCCAATAAATAATAAAGGCCGTTTTACAGCTTGCAATTCTATCTGCAATATGCAAGAAACTTGAACGAAGGCATGCGCAGAAGTGAGTCAGCTGATTGTTTTCTGCCAGATTCTTGAAACTTGGATAGCATTGCACGCAATCTGTTTGGTGCCATTTTTCTTGAAGGTTTTCGCGCAAGCAATTATGACGCTTAAAGTGGCTGCTATTGCTTTCTTCTTTTTATATCGACTTTTAATCACTTTTTTCATTTTTAGAAAATGCAAACATCGGCAACACAAAATTAAAAACAAAAAAGTATGGTTAAGGTTAGAGAAGGAAGCAAGTCAATTTCAAGGTGTAAAACGACGTGCAAGAAATCTTGAATGCAATTTTTTTGCATGCAAGAAATTGCATTCAAGTTCTCTTGCAAGCTGTAAAACGGCCTTAAAGGTTTCTGGTTTTTATTGATGGAATGCAGTGCTTCTAATTATTTTCAACAGTGATTTCTCTAGTTTCATACCTAAGTTCTAGAATCTGCATAGTGAATAGGTATTAACAGGATTTTATTACTGTTTCATTGGAACAGAGTATAGATAGCGTTTGTCCCTAACTAAAACGACTGAGAAAAAAAAATCGAAGATTATACCCTTGAACTGCTTGATCTATTCTGCGCAATAGATTAAAACTAGATTAAATTTACAAACGCTCCGATTATCAAAAAACGAATTATTCGAATGATAACAGCAGTGTATAGTACCTACCTAGATACATTGCGTTGTTGTAGAAAGTAGTGTAGAAGAAAACCTATTTGACACATTTTGTATTGATTTTTTTTTCTTTTTTTTTCCAGAAAGTTATGGGTAAAAACAACCAACGAGGTTCACGACCTGAGCTCACGCCTTGCTGTGCGGCGACGCAATTTCAACCTTTACAATTAGTTTATATGGATGGTAATAAAACCTTAACAACAAAACGTTTGTCAAATATGATTGTAGAAACTTGTGGTTGTATGTGATTTAATTTTTATATTTCATTTGAAACTATAGAAATTACAGCGTTCATATATCGATTTATATTAATATAAAAAAAAATATTAATTTAAATCCTAAATCGTCTATATGAACAAATGCAACAGTATTGTATGGTAGTGATAGAAAGAAAATTTGTAGCAAAGTTGTGGTAGTACGAGTTCAATAAGAAAATTATTTTCTCAAAGTAATTTTCGTCTTATTTTCAATACAATTATTTATCAGAAGATTAATCTGTCACAACTCTGTGTTCATTATAAATAATTTAAAACAAAAAAGATCATTCGCGTTAATACAATGCAAATATCCTATCATTGGCTGGACCAACAGGTTATTTGCTTTCATCTTTGTATTGCAAGCATCGAACATTTTCATAAATATGAATGGTGTGCTTTTTTGGTACCTACTGGGAAGTCACAACGGTTTGAAAAATGCTAGAAGAGCTAGAATCTATAAATATAGGTACCAAAATATTTTTTTGTCGTGCAGGCGCGACTATATTGCTTAAAATAATTTTTGTATTCTCAATATGCTTTAGCTTTACGTTTTCTTATTATTATTGCAAAAATAATTTTCACCTAGATTTTTGCAATCCCAACCAAGCAGTTCATGTAATAATTAGATACTAGAGTGTAAACACATTTGGATTTATTTTTTGTTGTGTTTTTTTTTATACTTTTATATGTTTTCCTAAATATTTTTGTAATATAATTCAAGATGTAATTATAATATGCTGAAAGTGTTTGCAAACATCCGAGGTGATTTGAAAAGATGGATGGTATTTGAAAATATTTAAATGTGATCAAAACTATTCTCATACGCATCTGAATCTATGGAAAAATACAAGGTGAATCTGAGAATGAGGTTTTTTTTTTAACAGGGAACCAAAAGAAGCTGTTTGGCAAAAATGTGTTTACATAAAAAATTTAAGATAACGGAGGTACAGGTATTTTAAAGTTTAAAGAAGACTGCAACTATAAATCATTTTGTATACATTTACTCGAAAAAAAGCCTTTATTAGTGCAGCATCATGAGTCTTATTCCATAATAGGTACTCTACAGTTGCATTTTTTCATCAGAAAAATCAATCACGAACTCCTCTTATAATTTTCGACCTATTAATTTTGGTTTTCGTTATCTTAAATTTTTTATATAGATAAACAATTTTTTGCCAAACAACTTATTTTGGCGAGATATATACCCTGTTAAAAAAAACCTCACTTTCGGATTCACCCTGTATAGAGTGTACCTACTAGGAAGAGCACGGAGAGTCAAATGGCAATGGATAGTGCCATACTCTACTACAGTAGAGCAGAAGGTGATTGTCAGTACGTTTTTATTTTGTTAATTTTGATACTTTAATGTCCTTCCACAAATCCAAATATTTAATTAGGATTTTTTCAATTTTAAAAATAAATATGCAGGACATTCAACTAACTCTCAAATGGATGCGACAGTCGGTATATTTTTGATCTAGAATAGTAAGACGTGGGATGCCATCTTTTTATTCTGCTCTATTAAATTGTGAGGTATAAATGACGCTGACGGCTGACGTGTGATATTCTTTAGTTTTAGGGTCTTAGAATAAAATATTTATGGTGCGAAAATTTATGAAACTGTAAATTATTGCTTTTTTTACATTAAACTCTTTTTAGAAAATGCACCTTCTCTATTATTTTTATGTCTACAAGCTCTCGTTAATTCCCAGAATCGACGTGTCGAAGCGTTTTTTCGAAAAGTTCCCTATTTATTTATCATTAAATTTATTCCATTTGGCTGATACACACTGTATAGGTAGATATACAGGGTGTACCATTTAAAACGAAACAGGCTAAATATCTGATACCACGTTCATTTTTTTTTTAAATCGCTCGTACACGTAATTTGATTTTGAAACGGAGAAGTTTTCTGCAACCATTTTTTAGCACTTCAACTTTAAGCCTCTGGGCGGTGTGGGACCAACCCTTACTATTTCAAATATAACAAGGGGTCGAGTGATCCCTTGTTTAAAAGAGCGTTCAATTCCCTTTCATACCCCTAGCGACTAGCAGAAACAGGTACAGCAGTATGAGTATGTGCTCATAAGGTGGGTGACACACTGGAGAAATAAGTTACATGAAACTTGTTGAAACAGGAAATTTGTTTCATTATCAGACGACCACGACACATACATTCAAATAAGGCGGCGCAAACTGGCGAAACAATTTTTGCTCTCCTGTTCCAGGGTCGCCAGTGTGCGCTCCGCCTCATTTGAATGTATGTGTCGTGTGATAATGAAACAAATTTCCTGTTTCTTCCAACAAGTTTCATGAAACTTATTTCTCTAGTCTGTCACCGGCCTAAGAAGGGCAAAGTTTTTGTTTGGGTTTGCAAGAGAAATGGAATCCTGGATATTATGAAGCAAAGCAGAATTCAAAGGATTTTTTTTTGTACCTTTTTTGTCGCCCCTTTAAGTTTGCCGCCCTAGGCAACCGCCTAGTTCGCCTAATGGTTGCGCCGACCCTGTAAAAGAGGGGATTGTCAATTCATTATTAGACAGAGCAGAACATCATATATGCAAGGTCGAGGAAGCTTGAATCCAGGAAATGAAAAACAGCACATTGCACAGAGCAACAAAGTCAGAATAACAATATGATTCATTGAAACATACGTTATTTGGAGGGATTTGATAGGCTATCTGCCAATTAGTGCTACTTATTCCTAAATATTCGCCTGCGGTATTCCATTTTTATCGGACCATCCTGTTTTGTCAACAGCTGTGGTAGGTATCCGCGTCTTTTCTGCAAAATTGGTCATAAATTAAATTCAGTATTTATAGATATATGTATATAATCCATGAATTTCATAAACAAGAATATATACAGTATACAGTATACAGTGAGCCTGTAAAGGTTGGAATAAAAACCTTAAAATATACAGGGTTGATATTTTTCAAAAAACCTCGGACACGGCGATTTTTGATTTTAGTGGCCGTTTTTTTTGATGATAATACATTATTTAAAAAGACTCTGTTTTTGATCCTTTTTAATTTTATCAGTATAAGGTATTTTTGGGGTTCTTGGATCAGGAATAATTAAAACCCAATTTTAATATGCCGACGTTTCGAAAAATATATTTTCTTTTTCAAGGCTCTGAAACAACGAGATAGTTCGCATAAGAAATAAGTCATTTGAACTATTAAAAATGTTAAAAATATTCAACAATAATGATTTGGACATAATCTTTCATAAAAAGCAGAAAAATTAAATCGATAAAAAACACAAATGAAAACAATAATAAATAAAAAAAAAAAAATGAATCGTAATAAAACCACTTTGACTCAGACGTGGACCTATCCTAATCGTTACATACACAAACAAAATAGAATAGCTACAGCCGAAAATGAAAGTAAAAAAAAAAAAAAAAAAAAAACCAACACTTACAATTAAAGAGGGTCTCATTTGTCACACACGAGGATTTTTTGTAGAACAATATGAATATAGGTATAAGGACATTTCTTTTTTTAAAAGACACTGTATCACGAAAAATTATACAGCCACCAACCACACACAGCAAGGTACACTAGTTTATAGCAGGATCCTGGCATTCTATTAAGTTACAGTTTTTTTTTTTTTATAATGATGACGCTCTCAGGAATGTCAGTGTTTTTGTCTCTGTTCCCTTTAGATACCTATTATTATATTTTTGATATTAGATTGTAGTAACATGTATACAAATTTTCAATGTCTGTTCTTTTGTTAACTGTATTTGAATGCCTTTCAATCTCGATCATTTCGTCCAATAGACGTTTTTTTCAAATGGTTTGTGTTCCTATCACCTGTACATTTCCAAAATCAAAGAAATGACCCTCGCTTTTAGCATGTTCGAAAAGGGCAGTTTTTGACTCTCTATCTATATGAAAATTTCTGCAATCTCTTTTATGCTCTGACATCCTAGTTTTGAGGTATCTCCCAGTTTGTCCAATATTGTATACCTTCTCGCACTCCAAGCATGGAATTTTATAAACCACATTGGACTGCAGATTGATATCAGTCCTATCTTTTAATTTAGTAAAAAAGTGTTTTTTTATAGTGTTTTCACTCTTAAAGGCCACATTAACATTCACATCCAATAATAGGTGCCTAATTTTTTCTGAGAGATTTCTTACATATGGAATTTTGAAAAAATTACCATTAGTGTCGTTTTGAGCTGGAGAGGGAGTGTTATTATTTTTATAGAGAATTCTATCTACAAGCTTGACAGGGTATTTATTTTTGATCAAAAGCTCTTTTATTAATGCTAAGTTTTTCTGTTTGAATGTCGAATGTGATAAGGTTAATGCTCTATTTTTCAAGTTATTGATAATGTTTATCTTTTGGCTTTGGGGATGATCAGAGTAATAATTCAGAAATCTCTCAGATAATGCTTTTTCTACTTTTTATGAAAGATTATGTCCAAATCATTATTGTTGAATATTTTTAACATTTTTAATAGTTCAAATGACTTATTTCTTATACGAACTATCTCGTTGTTTCAGAGCCTTGAAAAAGAAAATATATTTTTCGAAACGTCGACATATTAAAACTGGGTTTTAATTATTCCTGATCCAAGAACCCCAAAAATACCTTATACTGATATAATACATTATGTTTATAAAGAAACCGTTTTTAAAAAATTTTACTTCAATCAAAAATTAGAAGTTTAAAATATAAAAGCAAAAATACGTGTGAACAGCTCAAAGTGTATGTCTAATCTAAAAATTAAGAGTTCATTCCCATAGGGAATCTTGGTTTCAAAGATACACAATTCTTAGGAAACTGCTTACTTATGTCGGCGATGCCATGGTCAGCATGTTCCCATGAATGGCACACATAACTCCTAGTGATGGTAAATTTCCAGGAATTTATTTTTTGGGAATATTCCTTGGAAATATTCCCAAGAATGTTTCCAAAGTGGGAATTTTCGGGGAATTTTCTGCTTTAAGTGAAAACCCCTATTTATGTGAGCAGAGTTGTAGAGTAATGTGTGAAATGTGCAATAAAACATTTATTTGTTGATAAGTCAACAGCTTTATTTATTTCAAAACTGAGAAAAATTAAACAAATTCACATTACCCTAATTTAGATCTCTTTACAGTTCCTTATATCAATGGCGAGGGTTACCTAATGCAATTTTAAACCCAAATAGGTAACGCAAAAACAGCTGAACCAAATATCAGGATATACTTATGGTATAAATGGAACTAGAAGAAATAGAGAAATCATATTAGCCAAACATATACAGGGTGTTCCATTTAAAAAATGCAAGTGTTTGCCATTATGACAGTTGGCACATCATTTGCCCGTTTTGATATTTGCAAAAGATAATAGAGATAAAAATAAGGAACAAACCCTGTACGTACATGTTATCGTCGAGGTTATCGTCATTCTGTTCAGATCCAGAAGAATCACCACTCAAACTCTCAATTTCTTGTTGTTTGCTGTTTACACTCACCAAATAGCGCGGTTTTAATATTCAAACTCCACACAAAGTCAAAATAAACATTCCAGCGCCACCAGAGTGAATAAACTCATTTAAAAAATAAATTCCCTGTAGCGGAAATTTATTTATCCTTCGAGGAATATTCCCGGGAAAATTTCCAAATTGGGAATATTCCCTTTGCCCATCACTAATAACTCCTCCATCCCTAGAAGGAACTCGAAAGTGGAATCACTCGAGTTTCGTCTATTGTCTCAGCAGCGGGAGGTTTTCTCAGGATTCTTGAAATTTTTCATTTTGTTGTTCATGATTGCGAAATATATGCCGCAAAAATATTGCGGTTAATAGGATCCATAGAAGCCAATTTATGTACCTATGTACTTTGGTGAATTTTGTTAAATTCTAGAAAATCCTCTGTCGAACTCCGAAGTTGAAGTTCGGATAGTTTGTCCAAAAAGATTTTCTCTAATTTGATCCTCTTGGCTTTGACACTGGGATTTGGACTGATTTAATTTCGTTGAGGGTGACTGGATGACCGTGAAATATCTTCCTTTCGTTTGTGTATACATATCTCGGCATTTTTATTGAACATTTCGGCGGGACCGTGAAAAGGCGGGTTCCTGTTATTGAAGTTAGGTACTTCGCTTTCTACACAGTCTTTTTGAATTATTTGTTCTTCCGGAAAGATTCCAAATGTAGTGGGCGAAATCGATTTCTTTCATCATGGCTTTTTGGATATGTACTGGTACTTGTTGACATTGGTCGAAATTGTTGCTTAGTGTCAGCAGTAACGTGATACAATACAAACAGTTTGGTTTGAGGTCAATGCATTCTCCATTTTGGTATTGGTAAAGATCCGTACTTAGGGTGAGGTAGGTCGAAGGTGGGATTATGATGAATTGATTTTTATTAGGTACGGAGAAGAGGTGGTAATAACCGTATTTGAATTTGAAGTATTTGAATGCACGAGGGGGAAATCCAGTGAAAACACGATTTTATTTTCTATCGCAAAAAAAACATTAGTTTCTATGACTTCGTAGTAATTTATGTACCTATTCGTTTTGTGAAAATAACAATTGTAGGTATGTGGTGGTGAAAGTTATGAAATTCTTTGGCGATTTCTTTTGATTTTTTTTTGTGAAATAATGCTATGTGAGGTTTTAAAACTACCAAAGCTTATGGCATTTTCTATATCGTTTAGAAAATTTAACAGAGAGTCCAAATTTAACCTAAGTTGGTAGTTGGTCCATTATTTCGTGAATTTCTAGGTAATGCACGTAATTGGATTTTGTTTGTTGTAAATCACTAGCAATGTTATTGATTTTATTTTCGATTGCTTTTTGATTATCTTTTAAACTACAGTCATTGTTTGATTGATACTTGTCATTAGGTTAGAGGTTGAAGATATTTGTTTGTTTTCCTTTTCAATTATTTTATTTTGTTTACTTTCGAGTTCCAAAATAATATTATGAATCTCCTTTCCGTCCAGATTACCAGTAATATATTTTACTAGTGAGCCTAAAGGGTTAATTAAGCCTCTTTTTGATCTATGTCCTGGACTGATTGATTTTAATTACTGATTGACTACGTTTACTTCGTAGTTTAAGTGTTCATAAGTTTCAAGTAACGATAGTCTGTGCGCAATTAACGAGGAATTTATGATGTTTTCTAGCTTCTCATGTTGATAGGTTATAGAATCAATTTGTTTTTGCAAAGATGTCAAATCTATATAATTTAAGAATGTATGGGTGGCTATTTTCATCTTGGCCTAGTTTAAAGGGAAGTATATACCAGGATTGTTGTCAATATTCTGTATTTAAACTTTCTGTGCCCTCGTCAGGTGAAGTAGTGTCAATAATCTGTAAAAGGGTTTGGTCAGTAAATTTTCCTGGTTTTTTGAATACTTGTTTGTGATAAGTATTTTGCGTGGTAGTGACAGTTAAGTAATTACTAATTACTTCGTAAAGGCCGGGACACACTTGTCATACACCCCCCCGATCCGACTCCGGTCGGATGTTGCCCCAAGAATCGGATCCGTGCGGGATCGGAAAGGGGTGAGCACACATCACATTTCATGTGTTCTGGTTTATATAAAGCATTTGTTTTGCCCTGGCGGTCGGTAGTTTTTATAACCTATAGTTCCTGGTTGAATTTCGAGAGGGTCTTTCCGTTTTTCATTGGGTTTAGAAATTACCTTTTCTTTATGCTCGTTCATTTTATTATGAATATTTTTCCAAATGTCTGCGATTATCTCTTTATGTTTATTTAATTCTTGATTAATTAATTGGGTATCGTTATCAATATCGATTGGTTCTTTTAATTGGAGGTGACCAAAAATCAAATCGATATTGGTTTCTGTTTTGTTGCTGAATCGGTTGAATTCTTATACCCGGCGCCTATAATAGCAAAGTTTAATTTTTCAAATGAACTTAGGGTTGGTTTGGACTAGAGTCCGCAGTCCGCATGTGCTTTAATAATGTAGAGTGAAATCTTTCAACAATAGAGTTGCTATTCGGGTTTAAGGGCAAGGTGTAGTGCTAATTGATTTTATAAAGTTTGGCGAATTCTTCAAGGAGATTTTGATTAAATTCGGACAATTTGGTACCATTATCAGATACGATGCTTTCTGGGATTTTGTAATTTGAGACAAACTGTAAGAGAGATTGATACACGTGTACGGCGGATAAGCTTGGTAGGACACAGGCTTGCCCTAATTTTGAGAAATTATCATAAATTGTTAATGCAACAGTTTTTTCAAATTTGAAAGTATCCACATGACTGGTGCAAATGGTTTTTTAGGCTTAGGTGTTAATTGCATTTTCATCAATGGTGGGTGACGTTCATATTTTACTTGTTCACAGATTGAGCAACCATTTATGAATATTCTGACATATTCGTTCATTTTGGGTCAATAATATTTACACGTATAGTTAGTCTATCGTTTCGTGAATACCTCTATGATTGGTGATACCTTCATTTTGGCTATCTTCTTTGGTTTAAATCACAAAGCATTTTATTAGATTTCAAAAACTTGTAAGATGCCTATTTAAATGTTTGCGGTATAAATTTACACATTTGTCTAAACAGTATTTCGTCTTCATTTTGGAAAAGAAAGACCTATTGTCTCTTTGGTTCTACGTATTCTTTTATGTATTGAATAATTTGCGCTTGGAAAAAATCGCTTGTTACGTAAATATGCCATCGGGTTCTATTTCGAGTAATTTGGTATCGAAATGAGATGGAGCCCTTTCAGTATCATCGTTGACTTTCCGGACACCCTGTATACCTACAATTTTGTAACATTTGTTTTTGTAAGAAACACTTAAACCAAATACCAAAATATACTTGCAACCAGGGATCGACCGATACGTTTTTTTTTTGAAAAAACCGATATTGCCGATACCGATACGATATGGATTTATAGAAGGCCGATACCGATATAAGGCCGATATATATTTATCTGTTTTCCCCAACCTTTTCCTTTACTTTGAATGTTTTATTTGTTTTCTCGCACCTTTTCCTTTAGTTTGAATGTTTTATTTATTTGTTTTCTCCTAGTTTTAATATTGTTTGTTCGAGTTCAGATAAGCAGAAAGTTTAGTTTTTTTTTTTTAATAAATAAATAATTTTGAATTTGAGTTTAGATAAGCAGAATGTTAAGTTTTTTTTATATATGAAAACCTAATTAATTTAAAATAAATTTATGAGAAACAATTTCCAATATTTACTTTCTTCTTAGTCACTCCCATATGTACCAACCACAATTATTAGCTCTTTTAAGCTTCAGAAAAGCCTTAGTGATGATTACTGATCTTCAAAGTATGATTTATATCGGTCTAAAGTTATCGGCCAATGAAGGGCCGATATGCCGATACACCGATATACCTGAAAAAGGCCGATACGCCGATATACCGATATGCCATATCGGTATCGGTCGATCCCTGCTTGCAACCCTTGAAATTTTAAACCCTTAATTTCCATTCGATTTCTTAAATTTTATACATAATTTGCTCTTCTCATTATCGATTTTATTGTCTATAATTTTTTTATGATTCTTCTTATTTTTTTTAAATAGCTATTCTTTCAATCTAACAATAGCTATAGTATCAATTTAAATAAAAGATTTTTTTTATAAATATATCATTAATTTATTCATATTTTTTTTACATTTTTGGGGATGCTCGTTTTAAAACTAAAATAATCTAAAATAGATTATGTTCAATTCAGTTGCACTGCTGTGGTACTTCCATGCGGATCTTTTTGGTTTCTGATTTACGGGTGAAGTCTGGGTTACCACCTTGGTCGATTTGAGACTTCAAATAATAGGCGGTCTTGGATCCCTCAATACAATGAACTGGAACATTTTTGCTGACAGTTTTACGGGCTGAATGGTTGCATTGGGGCAATGGACGAATGGTGAAGCAAATTTCACCATTATCTTCGACGTAACGTGGTCTCAATTTGGAACCAGTAGAGCTGTGTCTTTGGTCCTGGCCTCTCCTGCTTTCGGTTCTTCCAGCGTCACGGTCTGAGATGACATCGGTGTACAATGGCAATACTTTTTGAACACATTGTTGTTTCCATTCACCGGAACGTTCTTCGCGACGTTGGTCATTTTTATCAATTTTGTAGCTTTCTACGAATTTTCGTGAGTCAGCAAGGACACAGTTGGCTGGGGTAGTGAAATCCTCATGTTCGTCATCACTGAAACGTCCACATAAACCAGCGATAGAATCACGGAATTTCCAGCTGGTGGCGGTCAATTTCACACGTTCTCCATCGAAGATTAAGTAGAACGCATTTTGGATTTCAACTTTAACTTCACCATTGGGCAAAGCATAAATTTCAACAAATCCATCGTGCAATTCAGCGATTTCTTTATCGTCGAAGTGTACTTGTTGTCCGTTAACCTTAACACTAGCAGCTGGATTATTAGCAGAATTTTGGCCTTGTTCAGGTTTCATTTCAATTTGTACAGTCTTGCCGCGGGTTTTTGGATGGTTGAGGGTAATCATCAATTCTTTTTTGTCTCCAGAAGTTTGACGTGCGAGAACAATGTAGTTTTCAACTTGTTTCCTCAATTGTTTTTCAACAGTTTGTTCATCTTCACCGTTTTCACGAGCGTCTTTTGGAATGTATTGCATTACAACAGTGTATTGCTGGTCGAGAGATAAATGATAGGTTTTATTACTGAAGGTTTGAGCGGCGGTTTGGTCAATGACGCAGGTAGCTGGAAAAAAAGATAGATAGCTCTCAGTGAATATCAAATTGTTAAAAAGAAAAAATTAGTTTCGCCCTACACTAACTTTAAACCTAATAAAGAAACTAAAATACAGGCTTTATAATACTTACGTCTGAAGTTTTCCCATCCTTGGACAACTCCGGCAACTCTAGCACGAATATGGAATACTGGGTGTTGAACCAAGATAGCTTGGGCTATTTCGTTTTGCAGAGAAATATTGTAGAATTTAGTTTCTTCATTATTTGCTCTTACGGTGAAGTTGACTTGTCTCAAGTCTTGTGGTCTGAAGCGAATAGTACCTTCCACCATATTTTTTTGAGTTTCAGCAGAGTCGATTTCAGTCTTTGGATAAGCATATACACGGGCTGCCTTCAACATATCTTCAAGAGCTTCAGCTAGATGTTTGTTGAAGTTCTCGAATTTAAGTTGGTATTTAATTTGGTCAAGGAAGTTAGCTCTAATAGTCATGTTTTGACAGGCTGGCAATTGGAAGTTGCGTTTCTGCATTTCTTTTTTGCATACCTTGTACATTGTATCTTCGTTCATCAAATATTGTTTGCGGGCTTTGCTTCTGCTCAAATCGAATTTAGCGGAAATCTTGGCACCAGTGTCGTCATTTTGTCCTTGTTGCACGCGTACGTTCCATTTGGCTTGAGGTTCGGTTTCCAAAGATTCAGTTAAATCTAATCCATTTGTGTTAGGTACGTCAGCTTTTGCTTCGGCGGTGATTTTTTGTCCTTGATTCTTGTTTTTGTAATAAATAACAGCTCTGGATTTTGGATCGGCGTTACTCTTTCCAAAGGCTAATCCAAACACGTGTTCATTTTTATGCTCACCGGCAAGTTCAACAGATACATCAGCAGAATACAATTGGGCGCTTCTGATTCCAGAACCAACGTGTTTCATCATTTCTTGTTGACGTTCACTGGGTTCGTTGCTACGAAGTTTGGCAGCAGCTTGACTTAAAGTGAGAAAATCTTCTTCGCTCTGAGTTTCTGGTTTCCTCTTGTATTCTTGGTCGAATCTAGAACGTAATGTTACTTTTTGGATAGTGGATTGCCTTGGCATGAATACAATATTAGCTTCAGTTTGTTCCAAAGAACCAGTGTTCCAGATTTTATCCCACATGGATTCGATTCCTTCAGATTGGTAAATTCTGACCAACTCTCCTACATTGACAGAATGTTCGGGATAGCATCCCCAAGCACGGAAGGCCAAACCGCATTCTTTTTTGCCGTACATAACATCAAAGGTCTGTTGAGGTTGTTGTGGTTTGATAACGCGAGTGTTAGGTCTATGAGCAACTGGAGTGATGGTCATAATGTCGCTTCTGGAGGTGTATGGTTTGCTGCTGAAATGCAACATGCGTATATCCTTTTGTTCTTTTTCTACTTCTAATTCGATTTCGCTTTGTTGAGTTTTAACATCAACTTCAATTTTAGCGTTAACTGGGACGTGCAATTGCATATTTCTGTCAAAACCAGCCATGTAGATTTGATGATCGAATGGGGTTACAAAGGACAAGTGACTTTGAGCTTTGGCGGTCATGGTTATGGCAGCCTCAATTCTTGCTGAAATTTTATCGGGCATTTGGATTTCACCATTCTGGGCAATTTGAGGGGAAGCGGAAGCTTTAATTTTTCCTTCACATTTCATCAAAATAGGCAAATCATAGGTGTACAGGAATGGAATTCCCATTTCGGTAGGGTAAGAGAGAGCCATTTCCTTCAATTGTTTAAGTTTCGCATAGTTGAAGTGTTTGCCGTTTTTCAAATTTTTTTCTTGCTCACGGACAGCTGAAAAAGTTTTTCAGTTAAAATAAAATAACCCACAAAATGCGTACAATGTCAAGGCAAGTAAAAATAAAGTTACCTTCAGAAAGTTGTTCGATAGTTTGGTTGTCGAAAGACCACAATTTTTGCATGTGTTCCATTTCGGCGATGATGACACCTTCGAGTTGTTCTCTTTCTTCGTTTTCGTATCCCATCAGTTTGGCGATGTCAGCACTAGACCATTGACTGTCGCTAGATTGTTGTTGAGATCTTCAAGTACAACAAACAATATATTGTATATACACGCCTCATTATGTCAATAAATTAATTACCTTTGAGATTTGTCTTGTTGGTATTGTTTGGTTTGTTTGTAGAGGACATTAGTAAGTTCTTTCACACTAGAAATTAAAGCTGAAGCGCGGAAATATTTGTTTTTCATTCCATGGGATTCTCCTTCAACTAAAAGTCCAAGGGCCTTAGGCCAACCACTTTCTTGGCTTCCAATGACCGCTAATCTGTGTTGGAATTCCATGCCCATTTGTTCAACGATATAGTCACGCAATTGAAGGAAGCTTTGGTCTGTTCCGTACTCTTTTCTGGTAAGTAGAGGTTTGGCTACTTGAGCTGCTTTCTTCCTATAATATAGAAAAAAATGCTTAGAAAAAAAAATGAAAAAAAAATTGTGCTTACAAATCTTGGTTACTGGAAGATTCGAGCGAGCTAGCAGATTCAATTACAGATTTGACAGCAGCATTGACTTGCTCTTGTACATCCACATTAGTGTTTTCAGCCATACGTTGAAGCATCTCGACTGATGGGTTTGTCTTGATGAGAAGGAGCACAGCGACAACACGGTGCTCTGGAAGTTCAGCGGCGTTTTGGTAGACCTAGAATTATATTTATTATTATTAACTACAAAATAATTGCTTTAAAAAAATTACTTTGTATAAAACAGACCGGGCAACTTCAGGATCATTGCGAGCCAATTGGTCCAAGCAACAGATCATAAACATACGTTGGAATTGAGAGCATTGTTTGTCTCCTTCCAAATAAGGTTCAAATGCATCAAGGATCTTCTTGTGTCCAATGTTTCCAAGAGCACGGATGTATATATGGATTTTACGGGCGTCACCGTTGGAAATAGCTTGTTCCAAATGTTGAGCAAGGTGTGTGATGACAGTAGACTTAATAAATTCTCTACCTTCCTTGGTGTAGAAGCTTCCAAAAGCATGAACTGGGAATTGGTTATGAGATTCGTTCCTGTTGATGTACACTTTGTGAACCAACTCAGTGTAAGACAAAAGGGCGGTTTCGTTTAGATAGGCCTGCTGTTTGACTTGGGAATTAGTAGATAATTCGAAAAATTTGCGCATGTACTCTTCAGTTGGATAGCGGATGGCATGGGCCATGGTAGCAACAACTTCGGCCGCTTCTTGCTTTTGGATTTTTCTGGATTCGATCCATTGTTGGATGTTCAAGAAAGCTGGTGCGGTACCGGCTTCAGCTACGGCGTCACGATATACTGCCCAAGCAAGACGTTCTTGGCCTTCTTGGTTTTGAGTGTACAATTGTTGAGCAACAGATTCAATTTCGTCTTTGTCCATTAAACGAACGAGGGTATTTAGCATGGTGTATTTGTTCAAAGTGGATTCTTTCAAAATTTTTTCAGGTGATTGTATTTCTTCGCTAATTTCTTGCACGAGCTTTTCTACGTTTTGTTGAACATTGAATTCACTGCTTTGCTTGATGGACTTGCCATGATATCCCATCATGGTTGGCAAAAGTGGTGATTCAGGAGCACGTGACATTTGGGGTCTTGGTTGTTGCTGTTGTTCTTCAGAAGAGTTTTCTTCGCTTTGTTGATTCCACATGGCATTACGGCGGAATCTTCTATAAGAACTTTCGGAGCTTTCCTCGCTGGATGAGTCTTCCTCGGGTTTACCTTGCAATTTTTTATGAACTTGATTATTCCTTGAGTAGGGTTTCTCATAAGTGTAGACCAAATCCCCAATTTCAAGGGGGTTGGATAATTCTTCAAGTTGTTTTCGTTGGGTTTGGACACCTTGAAGAGTTACGTTTACAAAACTGACAATGGATCCCATTTGTTGATTTTCGGATGATGGGGTAACCATGATTTTGTTAACGGTGCTGGAGGTTTGAATGACGTTTTTAGATAATTTGCCGGTAAGGATGGCACGAGAAATGGATTCTCTAATTAAAAATTGACCCAGTTTGTTGTAGGTGGGTTCTTGTTCTTCAATTTTCCCAAATCCATAATGATAAGAGGGTCTTTCTTCAGCATTGGTGAAGTTTTTGGTTTTGATTACTTCGATAACGTCTCCTTCTCCTCTAAAGCTATCTTGAGGAGCCAACCAGGGTTCACTTTGCAACAAGTATTCTGGAAGAGGATGAATGTCGTATAGGGTTTCAGTTTTTCCGGTAACAGTTTCTTCCATAGTCTTGAAAACTCCGTCCATCCTTTCGCCATTGGGCAAGTTGTTCATTGGACTACGAGTGGCACTCTGTCCTTGAACGTCCAATTGGAATTGACTCACAATACTTTTGATGATGTTAGATTCGTAATTAGAGACCTCTTTTTCAACAGTCAGCTTTGTGATCAAACCTCTTTCAAATTTAATTTCGAAAGGTTTTTCACTAAGAGACAATTGTTTGTAGTTTAGTTGAGAATCTGGAATTTCTGATCTCCAACCTGCTGGTAAGTTGGTATGAACTTGAGCATATTGAGGTTCAGATATTCTTCCTTGGAGTTTGTCTTCGGACCAGACGGCAATGTGCAATTTAGCTTTTAACAATACGCCAGAGTATTGATCAGCAGCTTCGTGTAAACTGCTCAAAGTACGTCCATTGACTTCATATACATATTCGGTATTTTCTTTCCATGATGGATTTGTAGAGGCATAGGCGAGTCCCACTGAAAAAAATTAAACAAAATTTCAATAGGTACTTTGTTATTTGAATTCTCGGACAATATACGAGCCAAAAAAATTAAAGGGTCGAAAACTAATTGATTGATGAAACTTCCTACACTTATGTAATTGTACCGCGGCGAATCGACTTAATAAACTTCACCACTTTTTCAATAGGGTACCTATGTTGTGTGATATTGGATTATGGCATATCAGATTTTACGAAAAATGGTAAGCAATTTTCATACCTCATACTTTATAATTGTCTTACTTTCGAAAGAAATATTAATCCTCGAATGACTTGATTTATCGGCTCCAAACCGTACACAGTACACACTCTAAGTTTTCACAGAGTATGCCTTACGAAAATTATAGAAATAGTAACAGGTTTGGAATATGTACCTTGACATTTTGCGTATACTATAAAAATGCATATTGAATGGTCAAGTTTATTGAATTATATAAAGTTCTAGAAAAATAGGTTCATAAAGTGATAAGTTTTATCAACAAATTTATTTGCAATCCCTAAGGAAAATGATTACTTTTTGGACGATAATAGCCATATGTTCTCACTAAGATGCCCAGGGCCTATTGACCAAAAATTTTTAAATAGAGTTTGAGTGACACGGCTCTTCTTCAAATAGAAGAGATTTTGGAAGAAACACTATGGTTAGAGTCACATTGCCAGAAGTTTTTAGTTTTTTTTTATGAAATATTAACATTACATCAGAATAATGATTCAAATTATGTTCTATGAGAAAATATTCCGTATCCTAAAGTGTTTGGCAACTTTATATAAGAAAAGAAAAAAATTAGCAGCAATTGAAAAATAAAGACACAAAAGTATTGAAAAAATAATGATTTTCTCAGAGCACCATAAGTGATTTGAAAAAAATAAATAAAAAATGCAAAAATAAAAAACTTACCAAAAAGAGTTAAGACGATTTGAGACCACATCTTGACAGTTGATGTAGCCAAATGTGACTATCCCAAAGAAAAACTCGGTATTTATAATAGATTTTCGCTGACTTTGTGAAGATAACATGTTTTTTGCAATTATTAAATTTGAATGAATGAGAATTTCATTATCAAAATTATTACATTGTATTTATCACTTCTTAATTTGCAATTAACTAAGCGCGTGTAGATTTTTTATTGGCAAAAATATTAATAATTTTTAATCAGATACGAAAAAACAAATTTTTTTTGAAAAAAAAAGGGCATCTGGGAATATTTAGGTACCTACTTATTATGTATTAGAGATTAGGCAGATACGGAAGCTAGTGAACGTAATTTTATCCAAGAATTTCATCCATAAAAAAGAATTGCTTGATGATCAAACCCGCCAAAGTAAGTTTTCCTCCGTTTTAAAGTGGCGGATTCGATTAGGAGTGTGAATAATTCACAAAGGGTCGATTTTGAACGCCGATGAAATTTACGTATCGTACGTTAAAATACGTATCACAGATTGAGTTTTTTTTTCAGACGATTTTTGAAATATCTGTTGATTCAGGCGCATGTCAAAAATTGAAAAATGACCTGCAACGTGTGCCTACAGAGGAATTTGAAACATTTTCCAAAAATTTCGATTCCTTTATAAAGAAATTATAGTAGGGCCAAAAGCAGCCGACTTTTCCAGCGCAGCATTTAAGCACGAGTTCATATTTTGTTAAACATAATTTTTCAGAGAATTTTAATTCTTCCTAAAGTGGCGTCAATTCTCACACAGATATTTTTATTGGCAGACAAAAGTATGACAGATTCCGTCCAAAATTCGGGAAATCACTTATAGTCCGCAACAGCCGTTCATAAAAAACTTCAGCCAAAGTCTATCTTCAGCCTTTTGGCGGCAGACGCTGTGAAAACTGTTAGTGTGGAGTTATCCATAAAATCTCAGCCATGAAACTATCGCGGTTAGGCCTACTTTACCGGCCGCATTCTCATAAATTCGTTCATGACTAGCTTTTCAACAGTACGGTAATGAAAAAAAATAGATGAACTAAGGAATGACCCAGAAAGATTCTGGGAAAAATGTAAACGATTGCTAGAGTGTCTCAAAAAAATTAAAAACTAAAAGTCGTGATTTTTGTCAATTTTCGATTGTAGGGCTGTTTGTGCCACATTGGAAATATCTATAAATGCTATAAACTACTACTACTGGCAATCAACTAGAATTAATTTTGTTTGATGCTCCGCCGTTTGAGTGTCTCAAAAAAATTAAAAACTCTAAAAAAGTCGTGATTTTTGTGACTTTTCGATTGTAGTCTCTATACGGTTGTGTGTGCCACTTTGAAAATATAGCTATAAATGTTAGCTACTACTACCAGTTGCCAATGAAAATTAATTTTGTGTAAGGCCTCCCTTGTTTTTTCCTTCAAAATAAATGTGTGCCTCGGTTCAGTAAGTCATCATCATAGGCGATCACTCGATACCGAGTATGATTATTGTTCTGATGGATATACAAACCAATTCTAGAGCCGCAGCATTGTCTCTACTTCTATTCGTTCGCTACTTCCTGCAGTCCCTCTTTCGATCTCGTGTCCACGACGAACCACAAACTGTTGAAGAAAAGTTTGTCGTCCGTCGTGGACTACTCGGCGCCATAAAGGGCCTTTCATTTGCCGTCATCTTCCAGTTGTTGGTATCGATGCGGCACTTTGGCATATCTTCCTTTAGAACATCTTTGTAAGCGTTTTTGTTGACCTCCTAGATTTCATTTTCCCTCTTTCAGTTGACTGTAGAGAATCTGTCGTGTTTCGGGCATGCGAACGAGGTGACCTGTCCAGCGCACCTGGAACTTAATGATGAGGGCTTCATAGCTACTACTGTTTTAGCCTCCTCTAAAACACTAATGTTCGTTCATCGGTCTTACCATTCAATCCGTAGGATCCTTCTCAGGAATCGCTTGAATTTCAGTGTCGTTCTCATCAAACCAGTCTTGGTGTTTCTGTTGTATGTAGCCGACCGTTTCTCCCGAAGCAGATGTTATTGCGGTCTTCAGTATTTTCCAGTGCTCCTCAATGCTTTCTGGGTACTCTAATGGAAGCTTCTGGCTTAGAAAGGCTTGGAAATTTGTCCTGATACTACTTTGCAAAGCCCCCAAATAGGGGGCGCCCGTATTTTTTTATGGGACCAGAAAAAAAAGTGCGCGGGAAAGGGTTTCTTTGCGTATTCAAAAGTATGCGCAAAGTAGCTTCTTTGCGATCACTCGTAGAAAATAGTTATTTTTCTACAACATGCATAAAAAGTGACATTTACACCAGAAAAAAAAAATTATACAAATCCGGGGGCCAGCTTGATTCCAGCCCCCCATTTTTTTGAATTTTGGCAATATTTTTGGCTCATTCAACTGAGTTCGTTTTGTGCTCAATTGTGCCGGTGTTATGCGAATTGTGGTCTTTTCCATAAATAATATGGGGGGGATTCATTCGACTCATTTGAGGTAACCTTTTTAATTCAGGAAGTATTAAGTATTGTTTCCCACAAATCTCTGTTTTTTTTCACTGATCTCTGTAAAAATACTGGATATAATGGATGTCCAATTCCAGTTTGTAAAGCAAAAACAGTTTACAACTTTATTCCTATTACATGTATTATTTCCATATTCTACGGAATTAAAGCAATACTTATTCTTAAATTTAACAGCCACAATCTAAAGATGCAGGGTTTAAAACATTCAATTTATCAAATCAAAATTTTCAAGGAACAATAAAGAATCACAATATTCCTGAACTACAACGTATTTATAAGTTGTGGTAATTATTCACTTATTGCTGCTCTAGAGCTAGCATTCTAGGTATGCCATACACTCAAAGTATAGGGTACGGTTCACTGACGACTGAACGAACAGAATAGTGCAATTTCGACGGTTGTGACATCACATGTTCCTGCATAATTTATCTTCACAAGGAATTTTCTCCGAGACTATTTTGAATCTAGGACTGCGATTTTCACGAGAGAGCTTAGAATTTGTTTTTTTTTATTTAAGCAGCTTAAGTCGTTTTTTAGGGTCAAACCTCCTTTAAGAATTGCCACATCATTTTTTTTTTTTTTTATGGATTTAGGTGTTTTGGAACCCAAATATATTTTTGATAAAATGAAAAAAAGTGGAAATTTCACGATTTTAATAATCCTCCATACCCAATGGGTATGGTGGACTAAAAAAAGCTTCTCCAGTCTCCTTCTCAAACCACTGACACATTCCTCATAATTGGTTTCTTCAAAGTCCTCTAATATATAGGGTGGTTCAAAAAAACCCGGAATTTTGTTTTTCAGCTGTAACTTTTTATTTGTTGACCAATTTTCTTTTGCTTTGGCTTGTTTGAAAGAGAAATGAACAGGCTAACGAATCAGAGTAAAACTTTTGACATTAGAAAAAAAATCCAAAATGGCGAACTCCTTCAAAAATTGCCTAGTTTTGGATAGCGCTGGAACTTTTTTGTGACACAGAGTGTATAAGTTTTTTAAATAAATTCTCAAAGTTCATCATTTAGCGAACATTTTAAGACCTCGACAGAAAAAATCGGTTGCAAACTAAGTGAAATATTGAATTTTTTGTAATATCGAATTTCAAGTTTTATATTGACAGCAAAATCTAGGATATGCTATTTCAGCTAGAATTTTTTTTTCTACTCGACCTATTTTTTCTATTTCGGGCTTGTTCGAAAGATAAATAAATAGGATAAAGATTCGAAATGAACATTTTGACTGTTGAGAAAAAATTAAAGATTTCCCAGTTCCTTTAACATAGCCAATTTTGAAAGAGTATCCGTGGGCCTCAACAACTTGTGCTAAACGCTACGCCAAGAATCGATAAAATTGGCAATGCTAGGTTGTTCCAGCAGTTCTCCCCAACACTCAATAATTCGGTTGTGCAGCTCTCCTAAATAATTGAACGTAGTCCTATTTCCGTGGACTTTTTCTTCCAAATCCCCTCATAAAAAGTAATCACAGGAATGCAAATCTGGGCTATTAGGCGGCCAATCAACGGGCTGTATAAAATCCGCAACTTGCCCTCTTAGATAGTTGATACTAAAGCGGCTATTATGTCACCTTACTCCATCTTATATACAAACAGTATTTATCACCCTTATCTCATAAAAAGAGAAATACAAAAACGTATAATTTTATCAAAGTTTTTGTGAGAACTAAAATCTGAACAATAAATGTTAACTAGGTAAGTTATAAAATTACCTGCATGAAAATGTAGTCTTGAGGTGTTAGCTGTTCAATTTCGGATCAAGGTTCCTAAAGTAACAGGTTGTCTGGTAATGGGTAACTTGATGACGCATCTAGAGTGCCTTATGGAGATTTGCATTATGTTCAGGCATACCGATGACGTCACTAAAGTTATCAGGCAACCTACCTCTCTCAAACAACCTTTGATTTCGGATAGCATATTATGGCGAACACAAGCTGACAATACTTGCGTGAATCCAAGCGAACTCCTCAGTCGATGACAATTAGTTTTACTCTGTGGCTTCGAGAAATTGCTGTAGATAGATACCATTAAATAACGGCTGAGTTTTGTTCTTCCTTTATCTGCTTTTCGAGCTTGGAGGGAAATTCGTAGTTGGTCGTTTTGCGAATTCTTTACTCCGGATAAGGTGGAAATTTTCCCATCACTGAACCAAATTTTTCGGATTTCAGCACGGGCTCTAAATCTATTAAGTAGGACAGTTTAAATGTGTAGTCCCGTTTAACATGCTTCAGCATTTTAAATCACTTTCAATTATTTTTTACTATCAACTATCTAAGAGAGCAAGTTGCGGATTTTATACAGCCCGTTGACTGGCCCGCCTAATAGCCCAGATTTGAATCCCTGCGATCACTTTTTATAGGGGACTTGGAAGAAAAAGTCTACGGAAATGGGGCTACGTTCAATAATCTAGAAGAGCTGCGCAACCGAATCATTTAGTGTTGGGGAGAACTGCTGGAACAACGTAACATTGCCAATT